CCCCCCCGAAAAAAAAAAAAAAACCCACCCCAAAGAAAATGTCTGGCAAAGTAGACAACATGGGAACAAAAACGGAATTCCTTCAGACAAGACAGAAGAGTGGAAGTCAATTAAAGGATCCGTTTCACCCATATCTCTCACAAAAGCCTCTCCCCGATAATGCCTTTGCATCCCTACGACACAGGGTTACGATTCTTATCCTTGTAGGTGTACCATTTGGCTATGACTTGCTCCTTTGATGCAGCTATGTATGATCTTGGTCTGGTCCTTCATTTCCCCACATCAATCAATAGATAGGTCGGGATGGTGGTTCCAAACCTATCTCTACTACTTAAGAGCCCTTAATGCATTCCATAACTGAATGAGCTTCCCCGGAGTCAAAGTCCATGGACTACAACGCTCATTTTTTAGCCTGGACTAGCACAGCAGGTCACATTTCCATATGCCCTACAAGAAAAAACCTAGTGGCTTTGAGTACTGGCCATCTCGCCCTGCTACAACCTGAGCTTGATAACTTCCGAAGGCAGACAGTCATAGGACATAATAGCATCTGTTTATCCAATCTATCACTTCCAACATAAGAAAGACTTGATTAGGCAATTTTCTAGTTAAATCCTTAAACAAGAACTCCTTCATAGTACATGAACTATAAGGATCAGGGACAACTCCTGGCAGGCTAGACATCTACAAACGGGAAAAAAACTATACATGAAAGTATGAAACCACTACTCATAGTTGAACCCATGAAAAATTTATGGGGACCTTAAAGATAACATATACTAGTGAAAGCTCTTTGCCAAAAGTCTAAGCACCCCCTTCTCAAAAGAAAAAGGGCACCCAGAAAGATTTTGCCGGGGAGCTTGCACGTGCAGCATTGCCACAACATTATCCCTGTTCAGCAGGTAAATTTATTTCCCAAGGGTCAAAACTCCTCTTGAACCACAAAACCTTCAGGCTCCAAATCAAAACGAAACCCATTCAAAATTCTTCCTATGGTAAAAAACAATAAGACCAAGCTTGGTCCCCATAAATGGGTTTGTGTGAGAGGGGTCAACTGGTGGCGCTGATGTTCGATCCCATAACCTCCCAAGGTTGTTGGCCCGAATATTAACCTCTAGTTCATTCAACTGTCTAAATAAATATGCTGCCACACATTGGAATTTGAAGGGAACAAGTCAGTATCAATCTGTTCAAAAATCTAGATTTGCGGATACTGTTTGAATAAGTACCCCATGTGAATTCTAACCTGCATGGGTTCCAATACAAAGCAGAAAACGTTCCAGAGCAAAATATTCTCATGTATCATCTTTCCACACTATACTGTAGAGATGAAAAGGAAAAAACAAAAAAGTGGCATCAGCAATTTTGATACCAGACCTGTATACACATCTGTGGCTGTATCTGACATTGCTTAACTCCCAGTGACACTCCCCCTTTATACACATGCAATTTTAACCAAATCTTAGATCAATAGAAAAGTAAAATTCTTTCAGGTATTTCTTGTTTAAAGTGACATTGATAGCATAGAGCCTCATAAAGTAAACAAAGAAAGGAACTAAGAAAGCAAAGAACAGAAAATAATGACTAACCAGATAATACAATCCCAGAGCAATTGGACCTTCCCATTGTTTCCATTTGTCATACAGTAATGGCAAGAATAACATATTAACCAACATGAACATATATGAGAAGATTTTTTAGTTCAAAAGAGAACGACCTCTGCTGCTCGTATACACTATGCCATGTTTATGAGAAGTAAATCCTTGTGTGAAAGAGTAAAGTTTACAAAAGGTTTTGTAAATTAGCCAAGACGTTCCCTGTCTTTTACCATCAGTTGTACATTTTCGATTAGGAATAGTTCTAATATATAGTATTACACCTAAAATCAAAGTCTCGCAAATTTTAACTCTAGTGTTGTATACAAGCACAGACACTAATCTAAGAATAAGAAATCAAATAAAGAAACATACATGTTCTTCACTATGAGTGTAGGTTACTTCCAAATTTCCACTCTCGGCAGCAACCCACACCTGCATTTAAAAGAAAGAGATTGAATAAAGAACTAACTAAAGGGGCCATGAATCCTATGTTTAATTTGATGAAAAGGGGAAAAAAAAAACCTTGATTGTTTTATCCAGTGAACATGATAAAAGAAACTGATCCCAGCAAAGAACAGACATCACAACTGATGTATGCCCTGACAATGTCTGTATGCATTGCAAAGTCTCAAGGCCCCATACCTGAAGACAGGATACGCAACCAAAAAAGCAAAAAGTAAGAAACAACCCACATTAAGCAAAATTATCCACTACAACCAACTTACTCTTATGGAATGGTCCATGGAACCAGAATATAGCCTATTGGCTCCAACAACTAGTGTCACAACAGCAAGAGTGTGACCCTTAAGTGAAGCGGCTGGTTCAAAGCAGTTGGAAGCTGCATTGAACTTCCAAGCCAATATTGTCCCATCCTGCAGCAGAGATTGTATTCTTAATATATGCAAATACAAACCCCTCCCCAAAAAAAAAAAACTCACACACACACAGAAAGAACCAAAAACAGAATGTAAACATGTGAAGCCTTTTACTTAGCAGATTCCTATTTGCAGCCAAAATTTCAACATTACAAAAACATAGAGAAGTTTTGATCACCACGAATTTTGGGAGTTCAAAAATTAGGTAACCTAGAAATTCCAAAAAACATGATGAGTTCCTTTTAAACATTAGTAGCCAAATCTACACCACTCCCTCAAAACACGGTGACTTGCACAAGGTACACAGAGATCCAAACCTTAAGAACAATGTGAACCCACTTTTGAGCTCTGACAACCTCGATAGGGGATAGATGTATTGATGGATTATGCCAACAAAATTCATTGAAATCATTATAAATATGTTCACACTCAAATGGTTTACCTGTGTGCCAGCAAAGAGCAAATCATTACCCACAACCAGGGCATAAACTTGTCCGAGCGGATGACTAAGAGTCAAGTCAGTGTTCGTTTGGGCATTCCACGCCTGTCATGTCATCACCACAAACCCAGTGAGGCGTGATAATATTACACTCCCACAATTAAAAAGCTTTGAACAAAACATGGAACTCTGAATACCTTTATAACACAAAATGATGAAAATCATGCCTCCACCTTACCTTCACTACATTTGGTAGGCCTACAAATACCCATGGGCCTTCGCTGAGCATACAACCCACTTCACCGCCCAAATTAATCACTCCAGCGCACTGTAGATAACACAAAACCAGAACATATTAACAATTCTGGATGCACTGCGATTGCCTTAAAAAATCTTTGTTTTGAAATCATTCTCAGCCCACCACGTAATTTCATTTCATTTTTCAGACACATGTACTAGCCAAAACTGGTTTTGCTTGCCAACATTTTGCTTCCGCACACAACATTGGAAGATCCAATCCTAAAAACTTGACATGCATTTCACAATAACGACTAAAATATAAACAGTGACAATTCTATCGTGAAATAGCACCAAGATAATGAAAAAAATAGCAACCTGCCCGGATTGGCAGTCCCACACTCTTACAGTCTCATCTTTACTCCCTGTATAAAGCTTGTCAGACCCAGATGGCATCGCAATCCCACTAACAACCTGTTAAAATAAAACCCATTAATTATCACAAATATTCAAATTACTACCAATGCAAAGATCAGATAAACCCAATTAGACGAAGAATCACAATCACTAACATATATCTATGGAAAATGTACAACGTAGAATAGACTAAACCAATACAAATCCCGACAAAGACTCGACTTTAACAAATTAAAAACAATCATATTAGCAAATAAAGGGATAATTCACACAAATAAAAGCCAAAATCACCCACATTCAGCATGTGAAGTGACAAGGCACTTACCATCTGGTGTCCTTCAAGCTGCGTCAACAACGAAAAACAATCCCCAGTACACCAAGAATGCAAATATCTACACCTATCCCCATAGGTACAACTCCCTTGAACCCAATAAGTGCACACTTTCTCCATCTTCCTCGCAACTCCACCGCTTGGAACTCTTCCCCAAGTATTGTTAAAGTTGGCTTTCCTACGGGGTAACTGCTGTTCATCAATGGACCCATGGGATCGCTTCGACGAAGACGTACCATTGGCCGCAGGCTGTGGCAGTGGCAATTCTCTGTGCAAGAACGGGCATGGGTATCTATTGCACTTTCCTGCTCTCCAATGGTAACAAACTTTTTGCTGTTTATTATCGATCGAAGACTGCCCGCGTCGATGGAACACGCGCTTGTTTCCTTCAACATCCATGATAGAAAGATGCAATCGATATATATATTGATAAATAAGTACGTAAAGATCAGTAGATTCTATGATTTTCTTCAGAACTGGAGAGAGGTATGCAAAGTTGGAACCACCGAGTGTGATTGATATGGAAAGCTTGACAATCCAATGGTATCATCAGGAGTAATTGGAATCAGCGGATGAGATTCAGTGATTCGATCACGAAATGGGTTCTTGGATCAATTCGAACCCTAATTTATGTTGCAGGTGTTTGTATCTCGGGTCCACCGTGGAAGCAGAAGCGGAAGAAGAAGGATCATTCCACGAAAGAGTAATATTACTGATATACCCCCATCTGCATTGATTTGATAACCGATTTTAGACTTTTTTTTTTTAATTTTATTTCTTCATTTTTTTTTTTTGCATAGTTTAATAACCTTTTCCTCTAACGTAGACCACATATTGGATCAAAAAAAACTTAGGTCACATATATTATTAATATAATAATGTTATGTATACATTAAAATACATCTAAATCAGTTTCACAAAATATTAATTAAACATGTTTTCAGAAAATTATTTTTTTAACACAACCACTTTTAAAAAATATATATCTATATTTATACTACTGATAAAAGTATCTTTTAATTTACTATTTTGCCCTTATAAAAAATTATAATGACTAACATATCCTTTTGTATTTAAATATCTACCTTATCATTATATCCCTATATTTTTAAATGACAAACTAATCTCTAATAAATCATATAAATCTCTATATCTTTACAAAAACTTTTAAATTGTCATAATATGTTTAACATGATATATAAAAATATATTATTTTTTTTCAAAATCTCATTATTAATACATGTTCACAACTTCATTTATACAATATCATTTCTAACGCCCAAAAATGCATGTATATAGTTTTTTTCTTTATTCACAATCAAAATAATTTGGTAAAAAACTATTGAGGCACAAAGTAAAAATAAGAAAGACCAAAAAAAAATTATAACCCTTATTATTAGGTAACTCGAATGAAAGAATGTTCATTAAATGTTTATAGTTATAAAAAAATACTAATAATTTAATTATGATAAATATGAAATAATATATAACTATAAATTTTATCAAATATTTTAACAAAAAAATTCACATGCAACGCACATAATGCGTAACTAGTATTATCAAAATATAAATTTGGTTTTATAACTTTTTGCGATAAGTTTGTTTTGCTTCTTTTGTTTGATCAATAACTAAACTTACACATTTTATTAAAAAAGGAAATTTGCCTAAAATTTTATCAGTCTGTTTATTTTTGTGTTTTAGTTTTTTTTTTTTTT